AGTCCCCGGCCCCGCCCCGCCCCGTTGCCATTCCTGTGGCCGGGAGTTGGAAAATACAAAATTTTTTTGAATTTTCAAAATCAGAAAAAGACTCTTAAGAATATATGAAAAAGGAAAATGAGTTAGAGCACTAATTAGTGCTATCACTAATGATGTAACAGTGAACTCCACCATGAATGATTTGATGTTTTGGCCTTAATGTTGTATTTTTTTTCTTTTTTTATTGAGTGTCATGTCATTAGTGATCTTTTTAGAGCTCCAAAATTAATAGTCTCTATCATTGTTGTATGAAAAAATAAAATAAAATTGAATAACAAATCAAAACAAATAAATCAAAAAAATTTAAAAGTTGAACGCTTAATTACATACCTCCATTCATTGCTCTCATATTAGAATTCATACAACCTTTTAAAAAAATGAATGGAAAATTAAAACAAATAAATCAAAAATTTTAAAAGTTGAACACTTATTAATTACATATCTCCATTCACTGTTCTCATATTATAATTCACACAACCCCTAAAGAAATTAATAAAATTAAAAACAAACAAATAGAAAAAAGTTTAAAAGTTGAATACTTAATTACATACTTCCATTCATTGCTCTCATATTGGAATTCATACGACCCATATTAAAAAAAAAAAAAAATTGAATAGAAAATCAAATCAAATAAATTAAAAAAGTTTAAAAGCTAAATGCTTAATTACATACATCCACTCGCTGCTCACAAATTGATTTTTCGGCCACTTTGCACATTGTCATTGTCGAAAATAGTAAAATAAAGTTCATAATGGGGTGAGAGATTAAGTAGGCGTCAAATTATACCTAGAGAAAAGCTAAAATAGAAGAAGATAAATTCTTGAGGAAATATCATTTTATACCCCAAACTTTCACAAGTTTTTCAATTTGACCCCCATACTTCGAATAATATTAATTTTATATCTAAACTTTCAAAATTTTGATCAATTTAGCTCATGTCGTTACATTCCGTCTACAATTAGACGGAATATCTTGACATGGCACTAAAATTCATTTGGAATTTTATTTTACCTCCCAAACTATACCTTAAAAATAAATTTGCCCCCCAAATATAAAAAAATTAAATTTAAATATTTAATAAATAATTTGATAAAAAATTAAATTTTAAATAATATAAACTTTGCAAAAAAATAATAAAAAATATAAAAATCCTCATTTAGAATTATCTTGAAATTATGAAGTATGAGTACTTCGATAAATATGTCGTACCCGTACAGGGTACTTTCCGAATTTTGAAATTTTTTTCTCACTTAATTTTGAAATTATTATTAGTTGATCAATTCTATTGAAATTAATTTGGATAATGAACTAGTTACAATTGCGCACACACATATACAGAGTAGCTAAGAAATTTTTGGCTCAATAAGTTTCTCCAAGATTGACTTGAGATAATTTGAGACCTATGAAGCACAGGTACGGGTATAAAAAATGATATTGATACAATACGCGTATGTTGACGCGATAAAATCTAAAAAAAAAGTAGGGTACGGGTACGAGTACGAGTTAATACGTTTGTAAAAAAATATTTATTTTTAATTTGAAATAATACAAAAATTGATTAAATTGTTTAATTTGTAAAATCCAACATACAATTAACATTTAATACCAAAAGTGCAAGTATAAGATAAACCATAATTAAATATCATTATATTAAATAACTTACAAACCATACCTTAATTTTAAAATCATGCTAAGCAGAAAACTAAAATGAAAAAGAAGTCTAGTAAAATGGATTTTATCTTTGTAATAGATGAAAATATTGTTTTGACTGAGATACAACACCGTTTGAGTATATACTATATATGTCTGAGTACGTCAAAAATTAAGAAGAAAATTTTTAAGTATTTTGTGTACCCGGTATGTATGCATAAATACCATACGTCAATAAGTATTCGGTACGGGTACATGTTTATCGAATTATTCATACTTCATAGTCTCAAGGTAATTCTAAATAAGGATTTTTATGGTTTTTATTATTTTTTTGCAAAGTATATATTATTTAAAATTTAATTTTTTTCATTATTGAGATAAGAAATTATTTATTAAATAGTTAAATTTAATTATTTTTATATTTGGGGGGCAAATTGATTTTTAATGTATAGTTTGGAGGTAAAATGAAATTCTAAATGAATTTTGGTACTATGTCAACACATTCCGTCCATGGCCAAATTGATAAAAAAATTTGAATGTTTAGGTGTAAAAATGATATTAATCGAAGTCTGGAGATTAAATTGAAAAACGCGTGAAAGTTTGGAAGGCAAAATGATATTTCCTCTAAATTCTTTAATAATCACCTTTCACAGTTTTGCTCTCCAAGTGTTGTTTTCCCTTTGCTATGATATGTTCTTGACTATCACGTGTAGGTATAAAGTGAGAAATAATAGTAAATAGCTTATGAAGGAATTGTAATGTTTATTAGGGTTAAGATGGCTGTGTTGAATTTATAATGTTGTAAGATTTTGAAATTGAACAAAATATGAAATAGAAGAAAGGTTAGGTACAAAGAGCATGAAGTAGAAAGTTTATATTTCCTTTTCAAATTTCACATATCATGGTATAATATTTAATTTTAAGTAATTAATATGATGAGTTAGCCAATAGTGTTTTTCTTATAAATAATTTTAAAATAAAAAAATTAATTCCTGCTCAAAAAGTGGTTATATATATAGTATTGTTTTTGTAGTATAAAAAGTAATTCCTTTAATCATGTGTATTTTGTTACGTAGCAAATTCTGAAATTTGAATGCTCATGGTATAATATTTAATTTTAAATAATTAATATGATGAGTTAGCCAGTGGTGTTTTCTTATAAATAATTTTAAAATTAAAAAATTCAATTCCTGCTAAAAAAGAGGTTATATATAGTATTGTTTTTGTATTATGGAAAGTAATTCCTTTAATCATGTGTATTTGGTTCCGTTGCAAATTTTGAAATTTGAATCCTTAAATCATAGGTGAATATTCATTGAGTGCTTTGTTGACTATGATTTAAATTTTAAATTTTAAATTTCAATTTTTAGTAGTCAATTAAAGTTTTTCTCTTTTTAAAAAATAACCAAAAATCAACATAATTGATTTGGAGTTTTGAAGCTCCTAGAGCTCTCATAATTGGTTTGGTGTTAACAATTCCCTAATTTAAATGAAGACCAACCATTTTGAAGACTCTTAATTTAGAAAAAAATAAAAAATAAAATCAAAGATACTAAAATATTAATATGATTTTGTAATATAAATTTCTACCGTTTGAAAATATTTAGGAGTTAATTTAGGAATATAAATTTATAAGGTGTGCAATGTTGGATTTCTGTACTAGATAAATGAATCGGGGCTCTGTGATTGAGTCGAACTGTCCAGGAATTGAGAGCCTGCAAAATAGGAGAATCACAAGAGCTACTCAGCTAGGGTTGGCTGGAAATCCCCTCCAATGTAGAAGTTAGGAGTCGGAGAAGAAGTCTGTAAAGAGAGAAAGAGAGAATGTGTGCATGTGTGATGACTCAAGATAACTTACTTTGCAATGAGATGGAAGTGCTGCTTATATAGATGACTTGATTTGCTTTCCATGGTGAGGGTGAGGGAGCTTGGGTGCCTCAAGGCTCTCTCTAGGTGGGGAACCACAAGTTGGTTATCCATGGATGCACATGCCCACCCAAGCAGTCATCATCAAGCGCACATTCTTTCTCCTAACAAGCGCACATTCTTTCTCCTAACAGTTTCCGTGGAGGGGGAACCAACTGAGGTGGCACTTTTCACGTGTGCGCTCACAACTTCAATGCCTACTTATGGAGGCCTCAGCTTGGTCTGTTTAGTTCTTCAGCCAAACCTTATTCAGCCTTCTACAAAGTTGTTTGTGCAGATGGGCTGGACCATATGGATGTCAATTCTGTTGATGGACTCGGACCGTGTAGTTCGGCCCATCTCAGTGCCTTGTTTGAGTCGGCCTTGTTGTAATAGGTTTGGCCCAAATGCTTGAGGGCATATGAATTTATCACTAATTTTCTCTAAAGTAGGGTGTTTAAAATAGAAACTTACACATATTAGAGAAAAGAGGAAAAGAATATGACACAAAAGTATTTAAGTAATTTTGCCAGTGTTTATTAATAGAGTTGACTTTGAATTTTATTCCAAAATCATAAGGAGGTTGTCTATCTATATTTGAACTATAAAGGGATAAAATGACCTAAGACGAAACCACAAGGAATGAAATGAATTTTACCCTTATAATAATTGTGTAATGAAATAAAATTGTTATGCAAATAGAATTACCCTTCTAATAACTTGCTAAATGATTTTTCTCATTTATCAAACTGTCACTAAACAGTGTTCTCATTTATCAAACCACTCATTTATCATCAAATCATCCACCAATTTAAATATAAAATTACAAATGCATCACGTTTGTACCTAACACGTAAAATTTAAAATAACTATGACAATTATCTAAAGCAATTTACATCTGAGAGAATTGAAGCAGTATAGATCTCTTGGAAGTCATCATGTTGTGGGATATTTTGAAAAAAAATCATAAAACGTGACAAAACTACACCAACTCAAGTGTATGCATTATACAATACTATAGATAATATATAGCTACATAGTTTTAAAACATGTTTTCCTGTTTGTAAGTTTTAAAGGCAGCTTAAACTTGAGGTGAAAATTTCAATGATTGGGTTGCCAAAATCTACTAAAATTGATCATGATACTAACATGAATAGGACAGTTGGCTCAGTAGTCCATGTAACTGTCCATTGGGACAGTGAGAAAGTCAGAGGTTGAAGGTCCGAATCAATAGAGCGACCAAAATTGATCATGATACTAACATGAATAGGACAGTTGGCTCAGTAGTCAATGTAATTGTCCATTGGGACATAAAGAAGGTTAGAGGTTCAAGGTCTGAATCGATTGAGCGACCATAGCTCATTCGTTGTAATCTACCTTATTACTAGCGTACAAATAAAATAAAATAAAATAAAGTAAAAAAAAGTTCGTGATACCAATACAAAACTTTGATACAACTGGCATACAGAAGCCAATGCAATGCTCTTTGTAAATGCAAACATGAATCTGAATGCCTCCCTATCATATTCAACTCAGCTTGTGTCCTACCCTTTTCAAGCATTCACAAGTCTCTGTGGAGGAAACCAAGAAGCTACCTGAATGGTTTAGAAGATATAATTTACATGTGTATTTAGAATTCCTTAAACATTCAAAGTTGCAGGCTTGAAATCAAGCATTTCCCTTATATTTAACCGAATGGAAGGCCCCATTGATGAGCATATATGTGCACTTTTCCAGTATACTCCTTTTGCACCAGATGGCTTGTTTGTTTCTACTGATTTCTGTCATATTAATTAAAGAAAAAAAAGGGAAATACAGTTCAGAAATTGACTACATATAATTCAGACAGCGCAGAAATTGACTACATATAATTCAGACAGCGCCAACACATGAGAGAGAGAGAGAGCATACTACTGCAGCAAGCAAGTTCACGAGAAGATCTTCCTCAGAAAAATCTGACTTTCCAAAGGGTAAGTGAACGATCCCAGTTTTATCTGCTCTGTATTCAACTTTGCCCTTCTTGAATTCCTCTATGGCCTGAAACAAACGCAACCTGAATTCATTTCATTTCAGCAAATTTTAAGGGTGCAGGCCACCAGAGAACTCATATATTGTTGATAGCACAGCGTGAAGATGACCTTTATTTATTTATTTTTTATAATAATAAGTAAATCGTATTAGTTGGCGTCTAAGGGGCACAAATCTTGCATTCACTGTGTAAAAAATGTGTACTATCATTTACACGAAGGCAAAGTGTCTCCAGTATCAACAACAAAGAAAACACACAGACCAGAACAAAAAATAAAACTGATAGTGTTAAAGGGTTCTCCCTTTCACTCACCCAACCAAACAAGACCTCCAAACAAGGTATAGCAAGAACTGAGAGTCTTCTCTTGCCTTCTAGAAGGAATACCCTTCCTTTGAATTACACACCTATGCCATGCCGAGTAATGCCAATAGCAACAACTGAACTTCCATTGCAGCCCTAAAAAAGGGCAAGGTGGTCCACTGACAAGTCCAATTTGGAGTCATGTTCGCTCTCCTCCTAAGGCTGTCAACTACGAAAACTCCAATGGGTAACTAACCACACACAAAAACCCACCTTTGTAGAGCAGTTTGGCAGTGGCTAAAATAATTTCAACGATACAAAGATCATAATAATTTTTAGTCATTTCTACATTTTTTTTTCCTTCTCTCACAAATCACTTTTTCTCGTAGTCTCATTTGTAATTGTAGGTGAAACACAACTTACAGAAGCTATACCATTAATGAATGAAAATTTAACACAAAATATCTCACCTCAGAAGTCTGGCATCAGGAAACATATCCACTAGAACGTAAATGTAGACATACATGCATACATACCAAATTTGTATATATGAAGCAAAAAGATCGTACCTGAGGTAAATTAGTTGTAACAGTACCAGCTTTTGGATTTGGCATGAGTCCACGAGGACCCAAAATCTTTCCTAGTTGGGCAACCTGATGGGACAGGAAAATGTAAATAAAGTCAGGCATATGAAATATGATCTCCAGACAATACAAACACATTAATTTATGCATATATATTTTTACGGGAGATTTGGTCAAAACCCCCTCATAATAAAATTTTAATGCATTAAGGACCAGTACAAAAAAATTTCTTGAAAAGTCCAACAAATATCACTATTATCAAAATATTAAACTTTAAAATAATATAACTTTTAATGTAGATGTCAGTTTTTAATAAAATTAATATTTTTAGAATTCTCTTATCAAAATTTATCAAATAAGATCGATGTTGACTATGAAATTCTTTAAAAAAAAAATTATTACTGTTGAAATTGATGTAAACAGTAATAGTAACATGTTACTCTATTTGATAGTAACATATTACTCTGTCTCACAGTAATATATTACTTTGTTTGACAGTAATATGTTACTCTGGTTCACAGTAACATGTTGCTTTGGCAATATTGTCCAAAAAAGAAAAAAAAAAAAACATTTTACTTTGTCCTTACTCAATTATGTATTTCTCCTTAGGAGGTTTATGAAGAAAAATAAATTGGGCTGTCTTTTTCACCAAACAAGGGTCCAATGTAGGGGTTTTGACTAAATTTTCCTATTTTTACCTAGAGGAAAGGACCAAATTAATTAAGAATAAATCCCACTATTCTAAGTAAAGCCAAATCCAACATTCCTCTTTTGATCCAACTGCTTTGCAATTCTTTCCTTCAGTAATTACAACTTTCTCTATCGCTCTGCCTCTAATTTCAATTTCCTTTAAGTTGGGACATGTTGACTGTTTAAGTCCTTTTCATTGAGGCATAAGAACCTTCATCACATCCACATAGTTTCTGTTTGGCTTGAATTTTAATCTGAAAAGGTTTATGACACACCTCAATTACATTTTTGTCCTTTGAAACAAAAAATTAGCTAACAAATAGTGATTCTGCCTAAGTTTTTAAGATGGAAATTGCTTGAGGCCCCAAAATTTCTGCCAAATGTTTTATTAAATGTCTCACATGCGTGTGGACCCCAGACTCATGTGAGATATTTGGTCGAAATTTTAGTATCCCTAGCATTACTATTTTAAGATTGCCTAAACCTTTTCATGACAATGATCTCAAATCATATCCTAAATTTGGTATCTGAAAGCACAGCTGCAGAAAGAGGGGAAAAAAAGGTAGAAATAGAATAAATACAAAACTTTGATCATAGGTAATGCACAAATCTCGCAATCTATATGAATACTTTTGCTGGACATGTTATAACCAAGTTGACGATGATTTTTCATCTAATGAGAAATCTCCAAACTTAAATTCGAATTTTTCTGCTCAGAATTTATCCTAAACACTTTGTCTAAACAGGAGAACGGAGATTCTATTGACATCCACATAAAAATAAATAAACCAGACGCAATCTATATTGATCAAACAAAACAGACCTTGGGCATCATATCTGGAGTAGCAATTAATTTATCAAATTCCATGAATCCTCCTTTTATCTGACCTATCAACTCCTCTCCACCAACCAGATCAGCTCCGGCATTTTTAGCTTCATCGAACTTCTCACCTGAAGATATTCAGCTATGGACATTGAGCCAAGTAATACAACAGACTTTAAGAAGGTATGAAAAATAAAAAATGAGTGTAACATTATCTCATTCTCAAATTCATGAGGCTATGATAATTTGCTTGTATGTAGCACCCTTAGAGAAGCTACAGGCTATGTGGCTGCATTTTGACACGTGTGGGAAACATGGCATAACACAATGGTAAACATTTAATCAACATTGGAGCATAGCAAGGACACAAGTGCAAAATATTTGTAACAGATAAAAGGGGATTGTGAATCGTGCGATTCACTAGAGATTCACTTCCAAAATAGATTCACTTATAGATTCGTATCGATTTTGCAAAAATTGCGTATCGAATCGCGAATCGAATCGCGAATCGTAAGATTCTGATAACAGAGATCCCATGTGCAAATGAGGTATATAAAAGCACCAAAAAATAAATCTACAAGAATCCAAAAGATATAAAACCAATATAATTTACAAATAGACACATTTGCCCAAAAATTCAAGACAAGAATCCAACAAAGGTGGAAAGAACTCTTTAGACCAAAAGTTAATAAAACTGCCCAAATTACTCTCATGAATCAATGCCTCGTCACCCTCAAAATTCTCTCGTCTCTCACTCCACAAGCACCCCATAAGACATGAAGGAGCTAACTACCACAACCTCATATTCCGTCTTTGGCAACCCCTCTGCCAGCACCCAATCAACTCTATAGCAGATTCTTGGCATCATCACTGCCACCAACATGCCAATGTAAGATAAAATGATCAATGTTTTTTCCTCATCCTTTTTACACCTACAACACTTTTTCAATGAACCCAGTGTAAATCTAACGTAATCAAGATAATTACACCATTCACAGAAACCCTTCAGGAGCTTAATACCAATAGTATGTATATTTGTCATGGTCCTTTTGTCCTTGATAACTAGTTTTGTAATGCCATAACAAAACTGTGACCTAGTAATTGAAGTAGTGAGAGAGAGTCTAGAGACACAACTCCCTTAAGAGTTAGTATCCAATGGAGGTTCAATAAATAATGTTTTTAAGTGGCATAGCTGCATAGGTACTGCAATAGATGAGCTCTATCCCTATCCAACATGTCAATACTGATACTTTCAAGAGAATAACCTTTCTCAAACTGCAGGTAGCGGGTTGGGCTGGGTTGGTGGATTGGCGGGTAAATTGCACATCCCTAATCCCAGGTTTATGCTTGTGTCCTTCATTTTTCTTCTTCCTACATCATTGCTCACTTTGTATTGAGAATGAATTCAAGTATTACTAACTTATTAAGATTTAGCATGTCTTCCTTTAAAGGATGGAGGATTGGGACTTAGGAAACAGAGGTTTTTGAACAAAGCTTTTTAGAAAAATGGCTAGGGAGATATGTTGGGGAAGATAAGGGTAGTGTAGAATAAGGATCATACTGTGAGGGCTAATAAAATTTGTACAAGTCTTTTTGGGGTGAAATTATGGAAGAACTAAAGGAATGGCTGAGAAGAATTCTCCAAACATATTTACTTTTCAGTAGGAAATTTGCAAAGATGGGATTTCATGATGACTATTGTATGGTAGAAAGCTCCACAGACTAAGAGTTCCAAATCTCTTCAAAATCACATCGTCTATGGAAGCCATGGTACTTGGCAATGTTAATGGAGTAGATGGTACAGTGGTTTGGCCCACTTGTATAGGGCCTTGCAAGATTGAGACGTTGACATGGTGGAAACATCGCCATGCTTTATCCCACTCTAGTAGATACCAAAGGGGTAGAAGGCTTCCTTTGTGGCAGGAAGTCACAAAGCGTAAAAATTTTAAGGTTCAATTCTATTCTAGTAACTATATTCCTAGCCAATAATTGACCAAGGCCTTCCTAAAGTGTCCTTCTCTTTTTCCCTTGATAGATATCAACATTGGAAAGAATTATGAACTTGATAATTTGGTGAAATGGGAAAGTGTTCAAAGAAAATCTAGAAAAAGTTAATAACCTATTGGCTGCTAAAGCCTAAATGCTTCTTTTGTTTTCATTATTTAGGATATACCTCACTAGAGCTGACAACTCAGGGTCGTTGTCCAGTGAGGATAAGAGTTAAACGTTGATGGATGGTGGGCTCCTATTAGTGGTATGCCCTAAAAGTCCCCCATCATTTAATTAATAAAGGTAAAAGTTTTATTTTATCATACTATCTTTTCTGTGCTATTGTTTACATTGTAAGTCCATACAATTAAAGTTAAGAATTTATGCTCTTAAGAGTTAAAATTGAGAGACATGTACTTCTCAGTATTTTATTCTTAAAATTTCCTAGTTATACGATTACTATTTGAATGCTAGTAATCCAAATGGACTAGCACGTGTTATGCTTGTTCAATTGGAAGAGGGAGGTGTCTCAAGTCACTTGTGTGGGACAATCAAACAACCATGTGTGTGTTTGTTAGAGAACAAGTGACCACCCAGGAACATATCTAGTTCACTTATATGTTATAGTTGTGTGTGCAATCCTTAGATCGAGAACATCATAATTAACCTGTGTGTGCATTGCTAAGTTTTGAAAATACAATATATTTATATTCGAACAATGAAATATGAACCTGTATAGATAGGGCTTAGTGAGACACCCATGGAGGAATGCGAATGTTTAAGAATTGATCCATCACTCTCAAGCTATGAAGCATGGGTACTCCAAAAATGTTGTCGTACTCGTAATAGGTACTTACCGGATATTGGTACTCATACCGATAGGGTTGCATGCGTACCAGGTACTCGAAATACGTACCAGGTACCTTTTATACATTATTTGGCAGTTGAGTACTCCATGGTTACTTCCTGGGTACATCAGGAGTACACCAAGCTATGAGACATTGGTAGTTCTTATTTACTTGAAATTGCAAATCCTTTATTTGATGTGTCAAAGATGAAAGATGTATTATTCAATGATGAAATTGATAGAAGTGAAAACTAAAACTTCAAGTTTTTAAATTTTGATTAGCTTGCTTTTGGAATGAAACTTTGTTTTGTAATTTCTATTTAATGGCATTAAAATAGCTTATAGACTTTGCTTTGGTATTGGTATTGGTATTGTTGAACTATGATTTCTCTTTTGGTCTTGCAATTTCTCCTTTTAATTTTGGTATTAAACTTTGATTTGTAGATTGAATCTCAAACTATGATAAAAAATAAAAAATTTATTTATGTACCCTAGTCGGACCCATATCCTATTTTTTTTAGATCTTGCCATATCGGCGTACCCGTACCAGTATCTATACCCGCACCCATGCTTCAGAGTTCTCAAGTAAAGAGATAGAATATATGTGATCTGTTAGGATATAACTCGAGAAAGACCTTGGTCAAGGCAAAGTAATAATTAGAAAGGAGTTTCTAATTTCATCAATACAAGTTGATATGCATTAGATTAGACACATGATTGAGTTAGGGGTTTGACAAACCTCAATGTCCTAATGACCTTTTGAGACATTATAAGATGGAAGGATTGAATGTATGGTAACTATTAGAAGGGCTTATTTTGTATATTCATAATATCTGGTATGTTCATAATATGTTGCTTGGTGTCACTCAAAATTTGTGGAAGCCCAAGGAAATGTTCCATGGGACATTTAAAATTCATAATAAATATCAAGAATTTATATTATTTCTACTACACAGATAAGTGTGAACCCAAAATTTCACACACAATAAGGACAATGTGTAATATAATGGAATGAAAAGAGTAAAACCAAATTAAGTGTTAATCAGGGATTTAAATTAATTAAGAGCTAATTAATGAGATTATTGCAATTAAGAGTTAATTGTGATATAACTTGTTCATTGTAACATACTTATCAAAAATAAAATAAAATAAACATCTTTGTTATAAGATCAGGAAGATCATCAATCCTTGTGGGAGAAGATATACTTGGTCTTCAAATATGAGAGCTATTATAAGAGCTAGCACTCCAGAGATTGACATCTGCCTCTCATTGTCTCTCTAGAATACTTGTGAGCTTGACAATGCCTTTGTTACAAGACTTTTGGAGGTCAGATGCTTGAACTACTTTTGAATTGGAGTGAACTCAAATCAAGCAAGGAATTGAATTTTGTGTTTGAGGTATTGTTCAAACTATTTCTATGGATGTTTGTATCTATGTTTCATATATATCACAAATATAATCATGGGGATTGAGAATCAAAATAAATTTTACATTGCTTTATGCCTAGCCTAGGTATGCAATTTCCAACAGTTCCTCCATGCTTGTATTTGAATGGAGTAACATAGGCAATCTTTTGAAGGTCTGGAATTGCCTGATCTGACATTAAAACATGCTGATGTGAGATCCCCAAATTTGGTTAGCAGGGATTAGGGAAAATCCTCCTTTCATATTGATTTTTCTGTTTAGAATTTAGGTGGAATGAGTCTACAGCCTACAGGTTTGTTTTGCTTGCTAATATACATCTACATCCTATCCTATGTACATGGTTGCACCCATTTGATGCATTTTCCTGACAGAACATTACTTATTAAAGAAGTCAAAGAAAAAGAAAAAGAAAAAGAAAAAGTATCTACCTTGAGTGAGAACAGCCACTCTAACCGTTTGTCCAGTTCCCTTGGGTAAATTCACCTATCATGAAAGAATTAGAACAATGGCAGAAACTAATTGTAGTCCATGAGATTGCTACCATATTTCTCATTACAATTAATCAAATGCAGGGAAAACTCACTGTTGCCCTCAGCTGTTGATCATTGTATTTTGGGTCAATGTTGAGACGGAAATGAGCTTCAGCTGTTTCGACAAACTTTGTGCTTGCCATTTTCTTGAGCAATGATATTGCTGTTTTTAAGTCGTACTCTTTCTTGTTTTCCCTCAATTTTTGAATTTCCAAGAATCTCTTAGACCTCCTCTAATAATCCCAACAAAAGAAGGATAAGGAGTAAGTTAAAAACGCAGTAACAACATGAATGTGAAAGTAGGAGACAGGTATGTGAAAATATGGGGGTAGACAACTTAAACAAACAAAAGAGAAGGCAGGACCAGCAACCACAGTGACAAATATCTCGTTTGGGATTCATGCAAAGTCATAATTACGGAGTTGTTTGTGAGGAGAATATCAGTAACAGCTCAAGCAAATTTCTGATTTAAAAAGGCAATGTATGTCGAGAATTTTTTTTAAGATGAGGTCTTCTAACTCTTGTTCAATAAAAATTTACAATTTATAATAATTTAAAACACGAGGTCTTTTAATCATTTTGAATAATTTGAGAATTCAGAGAAAATTGTGGAGTTATTGTTAATATTCGAGGCCAGATTATATAAAAGGCATTCTACTCAAATAAGCATGAACTATGACATAGAAAGGTGTTCTCAAAACTTGAGTGTGGACTAATACTCTACTGCAATCACAACCCCCCAACATAGCCGAAGTTTGTAGATAATCAATGGAGGATTTTAAGGGATTGAAGTGCTTAAGTCATCATTAAGATAAAAGTCAAGCAAAAACAAGTAAATAAATGACTATAATACACCCACAATACATGGTTTCAATCTCTCATATTGGTTTCCTATAACTAAAACCGCAAAATAAACAGAAATCAAACAAAATTCAAATGTAATTCACTACACACATCCACAATCCAAGAAAAACAAAATAAATACCAATTAAAGTAGATCTTAATTAGCACAATCAATCCCCAACTCAATTATAAGATTCTTGAAACTAAAAATTTTACAATCACAGTTAAAATAAATGTGAAAATCAAAGAAACCCAACAAATTAAATCACTAATGTGTCCACAATTGATGAGAAAGGGAAATAAGGAATGAGATTACACATACTCTGTCACTCTTGAGAGGCAATGCAGCTTTGCCTTTCTTGGGTTTAGTTGGGGTAAGAACAACAGCACTTTCTACAACACCCTCTTGGAGTTGTTCAGTTTCTTCTGCTAGATCTGCTTCAGCAGCCAAAGCGGCCACAACAACTGGGGAATTGGGTGAAGAAACATCAATCCAATTGTTGGATTTTGTGCGTGTGAAATGTAAAACAAGTGGGTAGAGAGAGAAAGTGTTGGAGAAGTTGAAGAAGCATGGTTTGCGTTTGAAGGAGAGAGACGGGGTGAGGTGTTGGGGAAGAAGAGAGTAAGCGCCGTGGGATAGCATGAGAGTGGAGGGAGTTGCAGAGGCCATTTTTGTTAGTCGAACAATCCGTCTCTCTCTTAAAGATGATAACGTTAGGGATAGGTTGCGTACGCATTAGACCCCTCAAATTTCAATCCCCCCGCCCCGTGGCAGGTGATGATTAGAGAATGAGAAAAAAAAGAAAAAGAAAAAGTAACTAATCAAAAAAGAAAAAGGGTCAAAAAGGGTAGGATAAAGGGGGTCCCAATCTTTATTCTTCACATTAAAATCTCTCAAATAATGTGTACTTATATTTGGAAACGTAATAATAAAACAATAGTGCAAATATTAGAATGATATTTCATTATCACAATTTAAAAATGATACATTTAACAAAAATTTAATAAGATAATAGTACACAAATATGTCATTGTCACATTTTGAAAAGAATGACATATTTAAAAAAAAATTTAATAAGACAATAATAGACACATTAGAATGATGTTCTATTGTGACATTTTAAAAATAATATATTTAACAAAAGTTCAATAAGACAATAATGCATAAATGTCCTATTGTCACATTTTAAGAAGAAGAATGACATATTTAACAAAAGTTTAATAAGACAAATAATGTATATATTAGAATAGAGAGAGAATAAAAATAATCACAAAAATTATGTGGGTCCAGGCATTGTCATGTGATGTAATTATGTATTATCAAGTGTATGACAATTGTCAAATTTTTATCAAACACTACATTAGTGTTTTATGTTATGCAAAACTCACGAGGAGATGAAATCTTACCGATATAAAAATCTTAAACAACTGGAAATTGTTTGAGATAGGACTTCTAGAACATTCAAACTATTTGCTAGGTAAGTAACTGGATATTATAAATAGGCAATACCTCCATGGGTTGAGGTAAGTAATTTCTCTCTATGAATTAATTCATTAAATATTTTTATAATATTAGAGGGCTGACTTGGGCGCCAGAAGACCCTCGGCTATGACTAGGGGTATTTTGTCTTATGGATGGTGATTGCATGGTGGTGTTGATCATCTTCTTTGTTAGATTTCTTTATCCACAAGTACATGATTTTTCTTTGTTCGTACAATTGGCACCATTTGTAGGAATCAACTAAATTTAATGAAGAAGATAACTAAGTGATCGGTATGAAGTTTGTCTTTAATAAACCATCCATTATTACTGTATGCATTCTGGAGTATTCTTTGCTCTATGCTACTGTTTGTATTAAATCAATTATTCAAATTGATGTGTTAGGGCCAAAGGCAAAAACAAGGATTATAATTCTATGGCATAAATACTTCTGTCATCATTATGTAAGCAAACTTATCTTGCATTGAGTTGAATTGAGAACCAAACAGTGGTGCCGTGATATAAACCAATCACTGAAAACGGTGTGAACCACTAATTCAATAGTGTGATTAATTCTTGTGTGTGGGCACATCATGCTCAAATACATTTTGAAGATCAATGATGAGTTTCCACCATCTTTACAAACAAAGCAAGATCATAATATATATATATATATATATATATATATATATTGTTCCATTTACTAAATAGTGTGATTAATTCTTGTGTGTGGGCACATCATGCTCAAATACATTTTGAAGATCAGTGATGAGTTCCCACCATCTTTACAAACAAAGCAAGATCATAATATATATATATATATATATATATTGTTCCATTTACTACCATGCTTATTGGGCTGGTTTTCAACACATGTGGCACGTTTCATATCTCATCAGCAGCTTATTCTCATAACTGGTGCTTTTAGAAGCAGAAAAAAGGAATAGACATGTTGAGATTTGGCCGAATGACTAAGAGCACAATTAGTCTTGGCACCGCTCAATCATGGCAGAGTTATTATGTCTGATTTTTATTTGCGAAGTATAGATTTTATGTATTATTATTCCCAACATAGAAATATTATTATCAATTATGAATTTTATGTAATATTATTCCGATCACGGAGATATGAAAGATCAATTATATTGGATTTTTATTATCTGTGGCGCATGGGTTTTATACATTATTATTCTGCACATGGAGGTATAATTATCAGTTATTATGTTAGATTTTTATTTGCGGAGCATGGATTTTATGCATTATTACTCCACACATGAAGATACTTTATTATGTATTGTGCTAAATTTTGGTTATCTGTGGAGTATGGATTTTATGTATTACTCCAACCACGAAGAATTTTTATATACCGAGCATGGATGGTGACTGTTATTTGGTCAAATATGATGTTGGATTTAGAATATATTTGAATAAGTTATTTGGGTCAAATATGCTGAGATGGAATCGCACTTTATAGACCATGGGGGCAAGATGAATTATGCTACCCTTTAATTCGAGCGGCGTTTTGCTCGGCAAAGTGGGTTGGCAGGTTTGACCAACTTTGAAAATCTTTGCCAAAAGGATTTTGCTCGGCAAAGTGGTTGGTAGGTTTGACCAACTTCGAAAATCTTTGCTGAGCGGGTTTTGCTCGGCGACGTAGATTGACAGGTTTGACCAACTTCAAAAATCTTTGTCGAGCAACATTTTTCTCAGCAAAGTAAGTTGGCAGGTTTGATCAACTTTGAAAATCTTTGTCAAGCGGCATTTTGCTCGACAAAGTAGGTTGACAGGTTTGACCAACTTTGAAAATCTTTTGCCAGGAAAAGTAGGTTAGTAGGTTAGACCAACTTTGAAAATCTTTACTGAACGGGATTTTGCTCGGCAAAAAACAAGTTGGTGTTTTGGTAGTTCCTAACTTGGCTAGGCAATCTTTACAATGAGTCCTAGCAAGATTAGGCATTTTCAGAATAAGTCCTAACGAGGTTAGGCATTTTCAGAATAAGTCCTAACAAGGCTAGGCATTTTCGGAATAAGTCCTAACGAGGTTAGACATTCTTGAAATAAGTTTTAGTAGGATTAGGCATTTTCGGAATAAGTCTGTAGACCGCCCGAGAACTCCCGACTCCACGCGCGAGGGCGCAAAATCGTTAGTTCTTAGCTACTACAGTTCGACTCATGTCACGGTTCTGAATCTAATCTCACAAAGTGCAATGTGAGACTGATAAATCACCAAAGAGTCCAAATCCGACAAATCGCTTTGGAAAATTAATTTTTATCAAGAAGTGCCAAACATGGACTGCTTTGTCAGATTTCAGAGTCGCCACCTAAATATTTTATTTTAAAAAATTTAGGAAACCCTAACTCGTGCCGAAGGCCACGTGTCCGTCATCACCAAAGTTGCCTCGGCTTGAGAACTTGGGTACGAGGGGGGAAGGTCATGAAATGAGCACCCCCGCTCGCTCGATCAAATGATCGGCCTTTACTAACAAGATATGTTGTTTTTTAAAACACATGCGTTCTTATTCCGGTTTATTAGCTAGCTTACTATGTGATGCACACGGCATACAAGTATAGACTCAATCACGCGAATTGGAACAAAACAACTCATGTTTGTTTTTTAAAGTGGTTTGAAAGTGTTACTCGCAAGTAGGCTAAAACGCGGATTTGCCACCCTCAAGTGGGCTTAGAAAACATGATTTTGCCACTTCAAATGGGCTTAAAAACTCACAATCATCGAGTTGTTCCAATTCAAGCAATCAAGCCTCCACCCATAGGCATTCAAGTAGTTAATCACTTAAGCAAATAGCCTCATGGCAAACATGCTATCATGGCAGTCACTTGCACGTATGCAAGGATGCTAAAGTATAAACACTCACAGTATACTCCGAGCCAAAACAGAAGCTAGTTAAAAATCATGCATGATCCTAGCTATGATAAGATGCCTAATGTAACACAGACAAAATGCAACTAAGATAGACTTGGCTATTCTAAGATGTCATGTGAATGCAATTAGATAACATGTATTCAAATTGGTATTAAAATACAATGCAGTTAGTATGATGCGCTGAGCCCGGTGCATGCAAGACAGATGAAATGAATGCAAACATGCGAAGTATAAGTATGCTAATTAAAATATGTCCTAAAACTAACCATCAAAAGCTGGTAAATAAAAAGGAGAAAGACGTGGGGTTGGAAGACATGCATCACACACACGCACGCTTATTACAAAATTCGCCCTCTCGACAGAGGGTCCAAATAAATAATACAAACCAACTAATTAATTAACTATCCTAGCTAATTAATTATTACAAAACTCTTAACTAATTAAACAAATTAATTAAATTACAAAACCAACTAGGTAAGAAACTAACAGTGACTGCCACAGCTCTGCCTCAGAATGATGAATGATGTATGCTCGATCGCGTCTTCCCGGAAATCCGTTACCATGCCTCATGATGCTTCTGTTTGCATTGTTTTGGACTTCTGAAAATTGTGCCAACTTCCAAGATGCTTCTGATCTACCTCATGGACATGCTGAGGGGTGGTCGACCAAGGGGAATGGCCATCGGCCAAAGATAATGATCATCGACCAATTTTGATAGTCGATCGGCAGATTAGATGGTCGATCGGCCACTGCTTCCTGCAAATTCTCCTTTTGCTACAACAGAGCACTAACAGAGGCATGGCAGTGTATTTTCAAGGAAATGTGTGTGCAACCACACTCCTTATCATGTCACATGCTCAAAGGAGTATAGTGCTCGGCTCTCGAGCCATCAATCACGCGTCTCAATGCATGCTGGCCCAAGAGGCCGAGTTGCACAAATCAATGTCAAATGAATGCACAAAAAGACACAATGAACCTACACCTCTATCATGCTTTATCAAGAGGATCGACGACCTAAGAAATGAGGTGTGTTTCATCACTTCAAGTATGAAACGCCCCTCATTCCCCGTGTTTGAATCAACATCCGACCCAAACACAATGCAATGCAAGGCATGCACACACAATGCAATGCAACAAGCATACAAAAATCATGGAATGCAACAAACATGCAATGCACCAAGTATGCAACAATATGCAAACAACAATGCAATGGTAAGGGCCATGTAATGTGATATTTAATGGACCAAACCAACCCCAACCAAGCCTCATGCGTGCCAATACAATGGCCAAAAACATGCTGAAAATGAGGTCTAAGAACAAATGCAAGCATGCACACATATTGATTTGCAA